CTGCTGGAGGACATAGGGACCCGTTTTCATCATTCTGCTTCATCATATCTCTATTCAGGCACTCTGCACTATTAATTAGATCTACCCATAACTTTAGGCTTCCTCTGCTTTTTCTCATTGTAGAAGCTACATCCTGCCTATTACTATTTGGCCTTAACACCATCTTGGATAGAAATATCAGCTGTGCTGCTGCCATCAAGACCTTTGTTTAAAGATATTGGGGCTTGCCCTTTTTTCTCTTACTATGACTAAATGTATTTGTTGGAGATTGAGTTTCCTGGAGCATTTACAGATTAGATTAGATGAAGGTGACTTTTCGGCATCAAACACTCAAGTGGGTCTGGTGTGAAATACTGAATATGAAGAAGCACCTTATGGATAAATGCGGTGGAGGCCCTGTGATGCTGTGGGCCTGTTTCTCCTCCAAATATCTGTAGTTTGACATAATAAACATTCTTTTTTTCTGTTTTTTGTTTTTTTTCCCCTTGTATGACTGGTGTAGTTCTGACTACTAGTTCTTATCCTCCCTTGAAAAGAAAAGAAAGTCTGCTATGCTATTGCACTGCCTCACTCTGTGCTTACCTTCTGCACAGGTGCTTATGATTCAGGCATCAAAAATGGAAGAGCTGTGCTAAAGATGGGATTCTTTGGAAAATTATGTGGAGGGGAGAAAAAGAAAGGTGAGTTCTGATGCAGAAAAATGTTTAATGACTTGTTTGGGGTTTCCTTTTTTCTCACTGATTTGTCTTTTGTTTTCTAACATTTCTCAGAGGAGGAGAGATTCCTGCGAGCGAATGACAGACCTTTCAACCTGTCTCAGCAGTACGCTGTAAGTGTTCGCTGCACATGGAAGCATTTCTACTGAAAAACTGGTTGTTTCTGTTGTTGGAGGTAGAAACTGATACTGTCATAATACTGTCATGATGTTTCTATTTAGCCTGGAAATTATGGATAGGGTGCAGAAATGTAAAGGGAAAATGTAAAGCAATGATAAAATAATTCATTTGCTGTGTACATAAGTGTATTTTCCTTCATTTGTGCCAAATCTCGATTTACCGATCGATCTACCTTCACACCCTCACCTACAGCAGCCTTTCCCAGGCAAACGGCAGCTGAATTGCAGGCAACTTCCCTGCAACTCCCAGCAAAATCCCCTTCAACTTCCAGCCACTGGAGTGACCCCCTTTTTGCATATTTTTTTACTCTGACTCCACCCTTAAACTAAATTATAGGGTTTAACCAGGAGATGATGATTCTCTTTAGATCTTAATGTCCACAAATCATAACAGTAGGAATATTTTAGTACAAAGATTGATTTTTAAAAAAGGAATCTTAGGGGACCAGCCAAGGGTCCATCAAGGAAAGTGGGTACATTTTAAATGGCTACTACTGTATGGTCATGATATCTGGGTAATGACCGAAAGATCAAGACAAGATCGTGAATACAAGCGTGCAAAATGAGTTTCCTTGTCATGGTGACTGGGCGTACCCTTTGAGATCGTTGAGGCGTTCAGTTACCCAGGAGGAACTCAGAGTAGAGTCGTTTCTCCTCCACGTCAAAGGAGCCAATCTGTCGAAGGAGCCAATCGGTCGCCTGCCTCAGGAGGTGTACCAGGCATATCCTTTCGGGGGGAGGCCTCATGGAAGGCCCAGGACACGCTGGAGGGACTGCGTCTGTGAGCTGGGCTGGTGTCGCCTCGGGGCCCCCCCAGAGCAGCTGGAGGAAGAGTGTGTGGGTCCGGAAATCGGGGAACGGTTTTGGTTCCAATGGATTATTGCATTTTGTGCACATGGGGGCCATTAGAGGTGTGTTAGTGTTTGCATGTATTAAAGTAGCTGATGGACTTTGTCCTGCTTGTGTCTGATATGCAAACTTATAATTAATGACATAAAATAATAAAGCAGTCAGTGTTAATTTTATCTAGGTGTGCTTTTTTTTGCATATGACCACATCTCTCTTAGGCTTATCTGTTTATGCATAAATAAGATTGACAAAAATGAATAAAAGAATAAGTGATATTAATTTAACCTGGAGAGACTTACAGAGAGAAGCTGCAGTTAATAAAGTTTTATTGTTTGGTGCTTGGCAGAAGACTTTGATGCTGTGCAGCGATATTGGCTTGGATGAGAAATCTGAAAGGGATTAGATTAGAGTAGCCTTCCCCTCAGGGGCCTGGACACTGGTGCTAGAATAAGCTGGAGGATGAGTGGGACAGGGAGCAGTCTGAGAGTGAGGAGGTGGGTGAGAGTTCACCAGTGCGCTGGTGAACTGAGAAGATGGGCTTCAGAGGAGGTGGATTGGACTGAAGCTTGATGTGGGATTTCAGCAGGTGCTCCAGCTGAGCTTGATGAATCTTTCAGATTCAACTTTCCCTTAAACTTTATTTAACCGGATGTACAGCAACTTTAAGTTCTAGTGATTCCTCCCCAGAGCCTCCTGTCAAAACATCAAGCTTCTGATTAACTGATCAGCAATTTCATAATGTATTTCCAACAATATTCCAGTCTTATCTCTTATGGAATCAAATATACTTTGTTTTTTTTGTTTTTTACACCCTTTGTTTTTATTACACCCAAAAGCTAATTGGCTTAGCCATAAAAGGTTACTTCCTTGTTTATCCCCTGCACACATAGCTCCTTTATTATAGTAAATATGCACAGAATGGCTTTATTCACCAACAAAGTGAGTAAAAAAAAGAGTTAAAGACAAAAATAACAAATAATACACCAGCTGGTTGCACTAAGTAAGAAACTACGCACCTATAATAGAGAACTGTATATAGGTTGACCTGAGTTATCATATGACATAGATATTAACCATAACTTTCATCTTAGACATTTTACAAAAATATCAGCTCCTCTTCCACGGCTGTAGATCTTTAAGTTACCTCCTGTCCTTTCGTCTTTCAAAATAAAAGGATGGTATTTTTTTCATACAACAGAAACAGCTACCTTCTCTTGAAATAATATAATTTAGTCCATTAAAGGTAATAGAAATAGATTTACAGCAATGCATTATGTCCACACTGAAAAAAACATTTAGAAATAAGTGAAAAATGTCTTGAATTAAATGTATTTACCCTTAATTTGAGCAGGTAAATAAGATGACCTGCCAATGGAATTAGTATTTTTACTCCTAAAATAAGATAATTTGCTAATATATGCTTCAATTAAGACAAAACTATAGTTTTTTTTTTCTTATTTTAAATGTAAATTGTCTCGTTCCTTTGGCAAAGTGTCACACTTACCTCCTCAATTCAAGAAAAAATGCACTAAATTTGAGCAAAAATGACTTATTTAGATTTCCATTTTTTGCAGTGCAATACTTAAGCAACTGTAATGTAAAGGGGAGACCAGAGTTTTTATACAATTATGTTAGTTATATTTTGTATCACATCAACTACATTTTAGACATCCATCATGGGATACATGTCAATTTCCCCCCCCCCCCATATCTGATAAAGAAAACCTGTCTTCTTTTTTTTTCCACAGAAAAATGCCATTAAAACTGCAAAATACAACATTATTACCTTCCTGCCTCGTAACCTCTTTGAGCAGTTCAGCAGGCTTGCCAATGCCTACTTCCTTTTCCTCCTCATTCTTCAGGTAGACATTTCAGTCATGATCTCATTAGAAATATCCTTCCAATATGTTCTTGTTTCTTGTTCTAATCTTCATACTAATCCATGGGGATTATGTTTTTGCTTCTGCAGACTAGAGTTTATGCAAAGTTGCCTAATTGTAAAACATTTTGCATTGTGCTTTGACAGCTAATCCCACAAATCTCCTCTGTTCCCTGGTTCACCACGGCGGTCCCGCTCGTCCTAGTGCTGGCTGTAACAGGGGTCAAAGATGCTAACGATGACATAGTAAGATTAAAAGATCAACTCTACAGACAGGAAACAGAATTAGATACTAACATCAAACATACATAAACATGTTCTACCGTCTGTTTATTCTTTTTTTCATGTGAAATGAGCAGAACAGACACAAACAAGACAAGCAGGTGAATAACCGCATGGTGAAGGTCCTCATAAATGGAGAGTGAGTCACGGCATCAAAGATTTTACAATCTGTGCATGGAAACTGTTACTGAAGGGGGCCTCTTGGTTTATTATCCAAGCAGACTGACAGATGTTCTGTTTTTTATAGGCTAAGAGAGGAAAAATGGATGAACATCCAGGTTGGAGACATAGTCAAACTTGAGAGCAACCAGTTTGTCACAGTAAGTCTGGACTTCTGTCATGTGATACAATCACCTGATTACGGTATGTCAGAACTGCTGTTTGACCAAGATTTAGCAAAACAGAAGAGGGTTTTATATCGCAGTCACAAACCAATTGTAGAACAATGGCGTTGAGTTTGAGGCTTTATAGAATTGACCAAAAACACTTTGTTGTGGCTTAAAAAACGTGCAAATTGAACCGGATGAGTGGGTCCGCCCCATAGGAATGTCTATAAGACAGGTATCG